GAAGCTTTCGCTGTCGGACACCATGTTGGGGATCTGCCTCTTGTAGAACACTGAAATTGCGTTCATGTTCTTGGCGGAAGAACGCATCTCTCTAAGCCTCTCTAGGACAGGTATTTTATAGGATATCAAGGGCTCTACTCGATCTACATCCACAGTTCGCTTCGCAGGGCAACTATGCATTGAATTCAATGTTCTATAAGAGCAGATCCCCAGCACAGTGTTTGACTGTAAAAGGTTCTCCACGATAGACGCCACAAGACGACTCCTGGAAAATGCACTGCTCGATCTCTTAAATGAGCGCTTCGTCCTACTATCGCTCACTTGCATCTCGCTTTTCAACTTCGTCTGCAACACAGTCGGAGGAGAGAAAAGCGGTGAGAAGTTTTTGTAAAAGCCTCTCGGAGGGGAAGAAAGATTTATATGAAATTAATAATTTAAAAGATAATAAAATTACTTTTTTATCCTTTTTATTCGTACTGTTTTTGCACGTGACAACATGTGCAATTTTTTCTGTCAATGAAATTAACAACATGAGGAGAATTTGGGTTAAATGTTTCACTTTGATAAGTGTAGGGATCCCAATACTACTTTTTAAAAGAGACCGTGATGTTGATCATAGCTAACTACAAGGGGTAATCTGTAATTAGCCCATTGGATTCTTTTTACCCTCCAAATTGTGGAGAGCTTATAGTTAAGCCATAAAACGTTAGCTATATATTTACTATAAAAACAACCTCCACTGCTGCAGATTGGAAATCTAAAATTGTTATAGAAAGCATTACTAGATACGATTACCTGTCAGAGCTTTTACCTAGTTTTGGTCCCATTTCTAATTTTCCCAAGCTTCCTATTGGCTTTGTTTTCACAAGACAAACCATGAGAAAAAAACACTGAAAATCTGCATTCACTCTGAGCTCAGTAAATTCTTTTATTTTTTAGCTACATAGTCTTTTTCCATGCCAAAGTAAGGGAAACATGAGATCGCATTAAGGCTCACTTATTAGTTTGTAGGTAGTGAATCTAAATTTTTCACAAAGTCAACCTTCAAGAATCAAAAAGCAATTCTTACTTTGCCTGGAGATGGAAAAGTCAAGATAAAATTAAAAGCTCACTATAAAAAACAATATTCATCTCAATGGTAAGATGACCAGAGAGCAAATGGAACACAACTATATATCTGTGATATCTGAATATTACTTTGACAGTTCTTAATCTTAGAAAAAGCTACTAGACAGGAAATCACAAGTTTTCTCAAGATCAGCAGATTATTTTTCAGATAATTTATAGGTCGATTTCCTACTTATATATGCTTTTGTTTGTTAATTTAACTTTTTTACCATTCTAAAAATACTTCAAGTTTATTATCAATTTTAGAAAACTAAGGCAGGTAGTAACGTTAATATGATTGAAGGAAAGAATAAAAGGTCTTTGATACCTGATTATATTTAGCCAGCCGCTCGCTACGGCAAGGAGCCCCTGTTTTAATCTGTAGGCCAGATAAAGAAAACAACAATTAGTTATTTATTTACTTAGGCAAGCCCACAAATATGCAGTGTTGAAAGGTCATACCTGCCCGCTAGCCAGCCCAACAGAAAGATCTGCAATGAAATTGTCTTCAGTCTCACCACTACGATGGCTAACCATTACCCCCCAGCCAGCAGCTTTCGATTCCAGAGCAGCTTTAATTGATTCAGTAACAGTACCAATCTGGTTAACCTATAACAGTAAAAAAAACATTAAATTTCAACACCAGTAGACACGCTTATTATACTAGGAAAAATATCTTTCATAGGCCAATATTCTTGCATATACAATATTTTACTGTGAAGGAGCTTCAAGAGATATCATAGAAAATCACTAGGTTTCTCTGATTCCATGAGAATGCTTCTTTTTCTAATGCTTCTTTTTCTTGCATGTTTTTGTTATTGTGAAATTTCGAATTACCAATGGCTTCAACATTGGTAATTTGATCAGCAAGAGGAAAATATACAAAAGCCAGTATATGATAATGTAAGGGTTAATACCAGTGTCAATCAGTATCAATTGACACTGGTGTTTAAAGTTTAAACAAACTATTCACACAGAATCAAATGAGCACATGCTTAGTAAAACATGTTCATTCATTGTTATAAAAGGGGATTCCCCTTCCAGATATGCCATTTATTGTGTCCCAGAAAACAAAAACAATAATTAATAAGAAAAAGAAATATTCATCTAATGACATAATAACTAATAATAATTATTTATTTACTTAAATGAATTTAAACTAAATGATTTTTTTTGTGTAATTGCACTTTGAAACAATGATCAATATAATGAAGTTAGTATAATCCCAAATGAAAATAGCATTAGCTTAACCTTTTAATGCTGTTTGAGATGAAATAGATAACAGCTTACTTTTAGTAGCAAACCATTGCAGGCCTTCTTTTGAATAGCCTCAGCAATCCTCTTCGGATTTGTGACCAATAAATCATCCCCCACAAGCTGGATATCGACTGAAGACTGTAATGATGCCCATGAGGACCAATCATCTTGGTCAAAGGGATCTTCAATGGACACAATAGGGAAATCTCTAACAAATTCTTTATATAATTCACAGAGGCTTTGAGCAGTATAAACATGAGCTCCATCATTTGGCTGGTTCTTAAAGTTCAGATCATATCTTCCATCCTTCATGAAAAACTCAGAAGCAGCCGCATCCATTCCAATTTTAATCTGCACTTGGCGGCAAAAAAGAAATAAGAACACATGTGAAACAAGGAACAATCTGAGAAACACAACATAAATGACAATATAAATAGTGTGTCACAACCTTTCCTGTATAACCAGCCCTCTCAATAGCATCCATAAGCAAGACCAGTCCTTCCCTATTATCTTGAACATTTGGAGCGAAGCCACCTTCGTCTCCCACATTGCATGCATCTTGTCCATATTTTGCCTTGATGATACCCTTAAGGATATGATACACTGCCATAACAACATAATATATCTTACGGTTACATTACAGAGATGCACAAGAAAATTGCAATAGAATATTCGAATGGTTGAATTTCCTGTTTGCTAGAGAAGCAATAACTTAAAGAGCATCAACAAAAGGATTTTAACTTTGGACAGACACTCAGATAAGAACATATAACAAGAACAAATAGAACTATTACCTTCACTGCCCATACGGAAAGCCTCAGAAAATGAAGCTGCACCCACAGGCAATATCATGAATTCTTGCATTGCAAGGTTATTGCCAGCATGACTGCCACCATTGATCACATTGAAAGCAGGAACCGGCATTACAAGTTCCTTTGTTCCTGATATATCCTGGATATGCTTATACAAAGGAACTCCCTTAGCTCCAGCACCAGCTCTGCATATGCTGAGAGAAACTCCAAGGATTGCATTAGCACCTAATTTTGATTTATGAGGCGTTCCATCAAGCTCGAGCATAATTGCATCCACATCAGCCTGATTCCTGTCAAAATCAAGGATGGATCACATTATACAACTCATCTCATACAACCTTCTTTTCCACATAGTTCGTTAAAATATCATCAATATGTAGAAAGTTAAATGAGGCTTAGAAAAGGACACTCCATTTTAGTGATCCTCTAATTAAACTTTTTTCTTTTATTGAAGAATATGTTGTACTTATATTTTCTTTCCATTTTTCTTTAGGCATGTTACATCAACTCAAGCAATCCAAAAGGGCAATTTATTTCTTTATATTCTTCTAACAAGAAGCTATATATCACCATTTAATATAAAATGACCAAAGAAATTTGAAGAAAGTGTCATAAAATTTGTCGCTTTCACAGCATACATGAGACTAACCTGACGTCGACACCGACAAGCTTCGGCCCGAGGATCTCATTGATGTTCCTAACGGCATGGAGCACCCCCTTGCCCCCGTAGGTCTTCTTGTCGCCGTCCCTCAGCTCGAGGGCCTCGTAGATCCCTGTGGAGGCGCCGCTGGGGACGGCGGAGCGGTAGACAGCGTCGGTGAAGAGGTCGACCTCAACGGTGGGGTTCCCCCGGCTGTCGATGATCTGGCGCGCCTTGACATACTTGACGGCGGACTCCCGGGAGGCCTTCGCGGCGGCCGTCTGGGGTGCGGCGACCGCGGAGGCCCGGATCGCGAGGTGGCGGGAGGGTCGGGGGAGGCGGGAGGGAGGAGTGAGGGAGGGAGAGAGGAAGGGGTTTGGGGATCGGGCGAGAGCCATTTCAAGCGATCGAGTTCCTCTCAGAGAAGAGGAGGCGGTGGATTTTATATTTGCGGCGATCTGGGCCTCGACGAGTCCGTCATTGGCCGATCAAAAATTGCCCAGAGGATCCTCTCCATTTCTAATTCTAAATAGAAATCACCATCACGCATCTTATCCGTCCATAGATAACATAAATTAATGTGTAAGAATTGGATCTGTATTGTACTTGGAGGAGATCTTGATTTGGGAGAGGAGGGTGGCGGCTACTTTGGTTGTATGGTGGTCGTATTTGCTTGGCCTTTGAAATGGGAGAAGTGAGGTTGGTGAAGGGAGGAATGGGTAGGTGGGAGAAGAGGAAGGTCGGTCCCGCCTAAGAATGGACGGCCGTGGTGGTGCCTTGCATAGAGATCGTGATGCGCGTGCACACCGTCGACGTTGCAAAGCAAACGTGCGCTTGACTGACCATGTGGATCGTCGAAGTCCGCAGGTGGCACCAACCACGGTCGCTGCTTCACTTCCCCGCTTAACTCACGACAAGATGACGTGGCGATGGACGACGACGAGCGTAAGGTTTGGTCCAGCGTGGCCTTCACTTAGACACGCCCATACAAGGAAGAATTTAAAGGGTAAAGAGGACATTTCGTTGAAGTACTTCGAAAAATTGAAATATTAATAAACCAAACCGGTTTAATTCACAAATTGGGTCAGGACATTAGACCGGGTTAGTACGAACCAAAACGGTGTGATCTAAGTCGGACCGCTGTTTCTGGGCTTAAGTATGAGCTAACTTGGCCTCAACGAAAACCCTACTCGTCCCTCCGCTCACCTGCCTCCTCTCGCTCCCATGGCGAGAACGGGCCAAAAAACCCCAAGAAAGCCGGTGGAGACCCGAGAAAGATTCACTGTGGCGGACGCGGAGGAGGAGATGGCGGCGATGGTGGGGGTAAGCTCCAAGGCGGAGCTGAAGCGGCGGATGAAAGAGATCAAGAAGGCCAAGTCCGGTGGCTTCGAGTCGCTCGGCCTCTGCTCTGAGGTCTACCGCGGCGTCAAGCGGAAGGGATACCGCGTGCCCACGCCGATCCAGCGCAAGACCATGCCCCTTATCCTCTCCGGGGCTGACGTCGTTGCCATGGCCCGCACCGGGTCCGGGAAAACCGCCGCCTTCCTCGTCCCCATGCTTCAGAAGCTCCGGCAGCACGTGCCGCAGGCCGGTGTCCGCGCCCTTATTCTCTCGCCCACCAGGGACCTCGCTCTCCAGACGCTCAAGTTCACCAAGGAACTCGGCAGGTTCACTGGTTGGTGTTATCGTCTACCCTTTTCTGTCTATTCCCTTTGTTTAACTCGTCGATCAGATGCCAGCGAAAAGATGCTGTTTTTTTCCCCAAAATGATGCAAGATTTCTGAAATAACTGGAAATTGAGAATTTGGAATAGAAATAAAAACTGATAATGAAGGTATGGGTCATCATTGGTGCAAACAAGCTACTGTTTTAGTATAATAGTTAAATCCTAAGTACTTAATAAAAAGTTTGTCTTTAGATAGCTTGTGATGAAGAAATACCAACTTCTGAATGGTATTATAAGCACCAATTCATATTGTTGCAAAATTTGAGAATTAAAGGTCCTTACCATCATGACTATTGCACTAGTTATTTGAGTTGTAACCATGGGATGCAGTAAAAGTTTAGGGGGAAGAGCTGATTTGTTGCCTCAGAATGATTGTTTTTGTGGGAGACTTGGTGCATGGTAACATCATTAGTTGGAAATTGAACATTTACATAAAGGAAAAAAAAAGGGACAGGAGGACTCATTTGATTGCTTTTATGTTTTAATTGGATTTTTTTTCACTTTATAGGCCATTTTTGAAATCTTGTTTATCAATGTTTCATGTTTAAGTATGTCATTTCTTCATGAATCAAACTTTCTTCATTTGAAAATCATTATTACTATTTCTTTTTCACTTTTCAGGTCATATTCAGAATCATGTCTACTGTTCATGAATCAAAATTTTTTTCATTTGAACATTATTTTTAGCATTGGCAGTTGCAAGCAAGATGATTGGTACTAATTTCTTCCACATTTGAAGCAATTTTTTAATTCTATTAAACAGTACAAATGATAGAAAAACAGCAAAAAGAAAAGAACAATACCTTTTTCAAACTGCACAATGGCTGCTTGCCATGATTCATTCAACTGCACAGTTGGATTTGTATGTTAATCATTTTATAAATTGCACAAGTATACACTTGAGCCTTTCTTGTTTTTACTCTTGATACCAAAGGCAATGTGTAGAACTTTTAAAATATTCAATGTAACACATATTTTCATTGATTACTTTATCAATTCTTTCAATTTCTTGAAGTTCTCTATATTTTCACTTTATATGTTTCAATTCTCTGCAGATCTTCGCACCAGTCTATTGGTAGGTGGGGATAATATGGAAGATCAGTTTGAAGAGCTAGCACAAAATCCTGATATTATAATTGCTACTCCTGGTCGGCTCATGCATCATTTGTCAGAGGTGGAGGGCATGTCTTTGCGTACTGTGGAATATGTAGTGTTTGATGAAGCTGACAGTCTCTTTGGTATGGGTTTTGCTGAGCAGTTGCACAAAATTCTTTCACAGCTAAGTGATATGCGCCAAACTTTGCTTTTCAGTGCTACCATGCCAAGTGCACTTGCAGAGTTTGCCAAGGCTGGTCTGCGGGACCCGCAACTTGTAAGACTTGATTTAGACACCAAGATTAGCCCAGATCTTAAGCTGATGTTCTTCACATTGCGTCATGAAGAGAAACTTGCTGCTTTGTTGTACTTAGTCAGGGAACATATCAGTTCTGATCAGCAGACCTTGATATTTGTTAGTACTAAGCATCATGTGGAATTTCTGAATATTCTCTTCAGAGAAGAGGGTATTGAACCTTCCATTTCCTATGGTGATATGGATCAGGATGCCCGAAAGATTCACATTTCAAAGTTCAGAGCAAGGAAAACTATGCTGTTAATTGTGACAGATGTTGCTGCAAGGGGCTTAGACATTCCCTTGCTTGATAATGTTGTGAATTGGGACTTCCCTCCAAAGCCTAAACTTTTTGTCCATAGAGTTGGTCGAGCAGCTCGTGCGGGTCGGACGGGTACTGCCTATTCTTTTGTTACAACAGAGGATATGCCTTACCTATTAGACCTTCATCTTTTCCTATCAAAACCACTTAGACCTGCCCCTAGTGAAGAGGAAATTCTCAGTGACATGGAGGCAGTATACTCAAGGATTGATCAAGCACTTGCAAATGGAGAAACAATATATGGACGTTTTCCTCAGCCAACTTTAGATCTTGTTTCAGAAAGAGTCCGGGAGGTTACTGATGGAAACACAGAACTAATCTCATTACAAAATGTGTGTGCTAATGCCTTTCGATTATATTCTAAGGGAAAACCTTTACCTTCAAGGGAATCCATTAGAAGAATAAAGGATCTACCTCGTGAAGGGTTGCATCCAGTCTTCCGAAGCGTCCTGGGATCAAATGAACTAGCAGCACTTGCTTTTTCTGAACGATTAAAGGCATTTAGGTAAGTTTCATAATGCTCTTGTATTTAATATCCATCTTCTGATTCTGTGTATACTTGCTTGTTTAATAAGTTTATTCTTTGTTTTTGGGAAAAAAATCAAATGAGGAAGAATGAAATGAATTTGCTGCTTTATATATGTATAGTGTTTAGATTTGTTCTTACTGGTTTAACATTCCAGGCCAAAGCAGACCATATTAGAGGCTGAAGGGGAAGCTGCAAAGTCAAAAAATGCACAAGTAATAGCATGTATTTCATTTACTTCGAGAAGTGATTTAACATAATATGCCGATGATTTATATATATTCTTTTATGTTGCATTTATCTTTCTCTTGTTATTTTTCTGTAGAATTTTCTATGATCAAGCAACCTAGCATCATATTTTCATAATGATTTCCTATCTAAGTAGGTTGAAGGCTTGCAAGAACCAAGGATATATTGGTCAGGGTCAACTTTGAATTAGTTGAGCAACAAAGTGAACAACAACAAATCAATTATTAATATCCATCACTCAAAAGTTAAATTGTCATGTATTATCAATGAAAATCATCTAACTTTCAGATAAGAAGATGCAAAGCTTCTATGTAGATAGGGAACTAGGGTAGCAACAAATGTGAAATAAGAGACTTAAGGAAATGCCCTCCTTGCTCTCCTTTCCTTCTCTTCTATTTCTTTTGTTTGTCTATTAAGTATTTGTTCTATTATTTTCTGATGTCCCTTCTAAGATTTGCTGAAAATATTAAGGAAACATAAAATATTTTTCCCGCAAATTGGATTGGCCTGATATTTAGAAATCATATTTACATCATTGTTCCTACCGGAACCAAAATGTTAAGCAATATTGGCAAATAGAAGAAATACGATGTCTTACTACTAGAGATTCATGGAATTCAAATTAAACATGAAGCAAAAAGCACATATTTGATGTTTATGGAGACATGTTGATTTTTGATAAATTTGCATTCCCACCGGAAATCAAGGATGACAGGTAATGACAGTAGAATTTGTGTCTTTGATAGATTTTACAGGTAAGTTGTTAGGATTTTTGACTTTTTTCCATTAGTGAGCTTCGCATATCTTGCCTTATAGTTTTATTTTCTTGTTGTCCTTGTCAGGGATTAAAGTATTACAAGTTTATATAATCGCTGTCTTTTGGAGTTCTACAGTTACGATTTAGGAAGTAGCATCTTTTTTGTCTTTATACTTGGCTTATCTGTCATAGGGTTCCAATCAATGTCTTGAAGTGATGAGGAAAAAGAGAGCAGTTCATGAGGAAGTAATCAAATTGGCCCGTCAGAAACGTTCTGTTGATGATGCATCAAAGGTGAACCTTTATCTGTCTGAATGATAAAGCTGACTTCATAAGTTCCAAGAATGTTGCAATTAGAACTGTGAACATTACTTCATATGCAGGCTGAGTATTATTTGTCAACATCTTTGCGTTGGGAGAGATATTTTTATGGTTATTGGCTGCTAGGTTGCCGAGTGGGTGTTAACTTATTGAAAAATCAGTTATATTTGTTAGATGATGATGTCTTTTAGTTGATGATGGTCTCAATTGTCATACAAAACTATTGATTGGTATAGCTCAGTTTTAATTTAGCAAAGCTGCTGGATGGCGTATGAAAAAAATCCTACTGGTATTGCTGGCAACTTAGAAGCCGGTGACTGTTAACCTTGGGTAATGGTAGATTAACTGAATGTATTTGCGCGCTACCACATGTCCTTAAATTACTACCAAAACACAACATTATTACAATGAAAAGTCCATTTTATGGTTTATTTGCAGATGAAAATTAGGATGGTAAATTTAGAGGGGATATTACAGTAGCAACTTCATCAGGACTTGCTTGTAAAGTAGAATTGTGATGATAGTATGCTGACAAAGCAGCAATACTTACCTTATCTATGCTGGTTTTCTTAATTGCCTTGTAAGTATAGATGAATAAATTGAATTATCTATGGGTTCATTTATTGGTGAACTAATCAATATAAATGGCTGGAACATCAAGTTGCTTCTTGCATGAGAGTGTCAGAAATATGTTTCAATTTTTGGTAGGACTTCTCACTAAAGTTAGTGCATCATTTTGTTGTTGGACAAACAAGTAATTAGTGAAGGAAAACCTGTTGCAGACAGAATATGTTTCAATTGTTGAAGAAAGCTCTGGTCTTCTGCTAATGCCTTGGTCCTCCCTTGTGCTATAGCAAATGAGATGATGTTTATATGTTTGGAAAGCATTTGTAATTACAAAAACAGTTAGGATTAGTTGATTGCAATCATCTAATGACTTGGGTTAAGATCTGCAAACCTGCTTGGAGTTATATTGAATTGGCTAACTCAAGCAAAATCACTTGCCTACCCCTCACCTCTGTATCCAAATATGATTATTGTCCGAAAGTTGTTGTTGCCGAATCCATTGATCAATCAGGTATGGGCACAGAGAAGTGAAGCCTTCTCCTGTATGTCTGCTAGTTAAGAAAATAAAGAGAAAAGAAATTCTAAAACCAAGCATAATTTTGCAACCATGGTGACTCTATCTGCAATCTTTTCTTGGCCTCATGATATCCTATTGCCAGCATAACTAGTTTGAGGTTGAAGAGAATTGTCTTTTTATAAGCATGCATCGAAAGGTTAGCTTCACTCTCATCATATGGGCTCAGTCAAAAACCTTGCTTAGATAAAAACTGCAAAGGATAGCTTGATTTGGTTTGGAAGCTATTTTTGCAATGAGACTTCAAAAATATATAGAAGTATGAAAAGTGACATATTTTGAAGAAAAAATAACAAATATAAAATTTTGATGCAGAAAAGGGAAAAACAATTTTAATTTTTGTATGCATCATGGTTGCGAAATGTAATCAGTGGATAATTTCGTGGCATGCTTTATGATCCATAAATTGATGAAGTATCAATGTAAACTAGATGAAGGCATGGTGCAGTTAGCAATTAGAAATATATTTCTTCAGGGCAAGTTAATATTTTTAATGAAAAATGAACATAAGTAATTTGAGGGCCATGCTGATCATCTTGCTTGCAATGCTTCGCAAGTTCAGAACGAACGAGAAGATAACATTACTGTTTTTCTGGTAGTTTCAGGTATGACACTCGTAATTTCATGTGCTAGGTCATGCATAATGACACCTGAAAGGGTTAGGGTGGATGGATTGAAAAGATTACAGTTTTTGTGTGCATGCATCTATTAATATATGATTTGGAAGTCATTTCTCTACATTGTCGTTTAACGTTTAACATGTATTGTTATTTATTATGTCAAATCTGATTGGAGGGAAAATTATGCTTTTTCTCACCATCCTTTTCTATGGAGAATCGCTGTAACCTTGTGCTCAAATATTAGGTCTTGTTTGTCCTTTTTGAGATGCAGGGGATGGAGGCTGCAAAAGAATTGTCAGTAGACTGGATGGAAAAAGGTTCTCTTCCTCTTGCTCTTGTTATGTTCATTCATTATGGCACATAGGTTTCTATAACTACTTTTTCAACTTAGTGTCAGCTACTCAAACTAGATTAACATTTAATAGTAACATCACTGATCTGGAGGCTTGTAAGATTAAGTTCTAGTATAATCTTAATGGAATCTGAATCCTTTTTTGGAATCAATTCAGCAGTAGGATAGCAATTATAGGTACCAATAGTGAGAAATTTTAAAAAGGATATGATATATTATAAGGGTTGTGTGTATTGGTCCAAGTATGTGGTATGTGCTGTTTTTGGTGGCTTGGTGGAGGAGGTGTTGGAAAATTAAAAATTTTGTTAACCGGCACCTTTTGTGGGGTTACAGGCACAAAAGGTTTGACCTCTTGATGCCAAATGAGTTCAGATGTCGAATTAAAGATAATATAAAAGTTGACTTAAAGTTCTCTTTGGATCATCTTGTACTGGTGGATTCCAAAAATCATCACTTAGGTCCCATCGAGATGCCTCTCTTTTATTGGGCTGAACTAACCATTACAAGTATCATTTACTTGTGATTTGTATTATATTGGTTGTTGTTCAATTCAATCCACCTGTCGTTTCACCAGTTGTGATTTGGATTAGATTGGCTCCAGGTGCACCATACTAGAGCTGGGATGCTCTTTTAATTTTATGTTCTAGAATCTAGAGTCTGAAATCTTAAAGAATTCTCAACCAAGATTAGGTTGTACATGCCATATCGCCATTTGTGAACTGGTAAGTGCTATTCTTAAGAGTTATCATTTATTTTGAAGTTTGTCCTATTTTTCCTTCTTTCTTCCTTCCACTACTTCATGTACACCATTCTGCCACCTGGCCAGTTGCAACTGGAAACTTACAGTAGCTCTAGGAGGGTTGGCTGATACATAACAAGGCCTGTGTGGCTGCCAGCACATAGCAGAAACTGTAGCAATATGGTCACAGGCTCATGCCTTTGACAATAGCACCATCCACCAGCCACCCATTCAACTCTCTTTTATTCTCTCACTTTGTTTCTTTTTTGTCCCTTTAATCTTTGTCTTCTCCCATAGTATCCCTTCCCATTTTCTTTTCTTTTGCCCAGCATTAAGACCCCCAATGAACTCGCATTCAATATTCTCTCTTCCAAGAATTTATTTCTCAGTTCCTTACCAGTTTTGTTAACTTATTGGACTGGTAGATAACATTGTAGTGAAAAAAATACAAACAAATTGTGATGTTTTAGTTTTGACCTATATGTTTCAGTAGACCAGTGAACACTCATCCGTATAGACCGGTATGGTCAAGATATAAAACCTTGTTCTCTCGACACCGACTATGATCTTGCAACCCTGCAAATGTGCAACAAGATAAAGTGTAAGGCGACGAGAGGAGAAATTAAAAAGTAGGGATGATAAAGAATACAGAAAAGGGAATATTTAGGAATCAACATAGGCTAAAAAAGAAGACAGAAAAGAAATTTATTAATTTCCAAAAAGCATTTGTGAAATTTATTTGGGTGTAACGTGACGATTGTATTTCTTTATGTTTAGCCATTTCTTTTCTTGAGATTTTTCCTTTTTTTCTAGGTTTTACTGGCACTCTTATGTGACTCGCCATGTGAATGACACATAATGTGCTAGTTGATTGGGATTTAAGAGGAACACTGCAAATGTCAATCCCAAGTCTGATTGAAAAAAATGGAGGGTTACATTATGTCATTGATAGCAACTATGATAGATATCAATGAACATGGATCTCAGTTTGCTGATGATTTTGTATTAGTTGACGAGAGTTTAAACAGAATTAATTCTAAACTTGAGTTACAGAGGAAATCCATATAAATTTTTCTAAGGTTGTGTACATTAAGTAGGACTAAAATATTTAGAAATAAGTAAGTTGGATGGGCAAGAAGTTTCACTAAGTAAAAGTTTTAGGTATGTTGGATTAATTATTCAACAAGATGGAGAGATGGATGAAGATATTATTGATAGAGTAAAAACAAAATTGATTAAAATGACAAGAGACTTTAGGAGTCCTATGTGATCATTAGGTATCTTTGAAATTAAAAATTATAAAATAATTATGAGACTAATAATGTTTTATGGATCAAAGTGTTGATAGTTAAGAAATAAAATATAAAAAAATTTGTGTTACTGATATTATAATGCTCAGGTGATGTATAGAGGTAATAGGAAATATAGGAAAAGAACAATTTTTGTGAACAATTAGGTATAGATTTATTCAATAGAGGGTAAAATGAAGAAAAATTGTTTAAGATTGTATGGTGTCTAGGATATTTACAGATGCGATAGCTAGAAGAGGTGAAATGAGAAAGACTTTAAAAAACTAATTTAAGGATTTAAGTACTCTTAATTTGACGAAACATATGATTGTTTATGGATCTCGATGCCGATAAAGAAAACCATGTAGCTGATCCAAAATTATTGGGGCTTTACACTTTGTTGTATTTTTTGAACTTTTCTAATTTAATCTTTGATTACTGAGCATATATTGCTTTTAGTTACTTTTTCTTGGTATGTGCCGGATTTAATGTATGTTAATGATAGATAGTTATATGGTTAGTGTTTAATTTTGTTTCTTTGGTATTTTGTAATATTAGATATCTGTTGTGCAAAAAGAAAGGTGTCAAATTTTAAGGATGACGAATATTATATAAGTTCTGTTCCCACAAATCAGGTATATTTTTCATCCTTATCTAGTTTATTATTGAGAATGTTTAGCGCGCTTCTTCTTTATGCTATTTGCAGCGATGTGAATTATAAGAGCTTATATCTAAACCATCTTCATGTGAACTTCTACACAAATAATTAGACATTTCATGTCACTACTGTTACAGCATTTGGAGGCAGGATTGTCAGTAAAGAATGATGAAGGCTTTGGATCAAGCAGGTATCACAAATTTTTTGCTGAATAAATGTTTCTCCTCAGTTGATCTGCCATCTTTATTTGTAGCTGAATTTATCTTGGGAAATAGTCAATCAGTCACTTGTTACGCAAGTTGAATCTGCACTTTTACACCAGGAATAAACCAAAGCAGTGCAATGGATTGTCAAAATAACTCTTTTTTTAGCATGATTATAAGACTCAGAAGCATCATCTTTGGCAACTGCTGATCATTATTATCTTTTGTTTGAAGTTACAAGAGAATGATATTGGGTGAATATCTCATCCAGCAGGGACTTGATCAATATTTACAATATTTCTCAGTATGGTATATGGTACAGATGGTACTTACCGGTCCGAAAACTTACCAGTATGCAGGATCAGGGTAAACTGGGCAGTATGCCCGATACATGGCCTTTATGTAGGGCCTGTACCACCTGGTACTCTCGACACATAACCCATACTGCTCGGGACAGGGCCTATATTAACTGGTAAAAGGTGGTACAGGCCTTGTACCAGGCAGTTTATTTCTTTTGTTTTTCCAATCTTTTTTCAGGATTTTTTCAAAACTTGGTATATACCGGCAAACTGTCACTTGGTACACTGGTATGGACCAGTATGGTACCTACTCTGAGCCCTGACCAGTATACTATTGGTATACAAAATTGTGATCCTTAGATTTAATTATCCTGAAATGAATCAGAAATACAGAAAAGTTCACCACAAAGATCAATGATGAGATCCACTTATTTGACTGGTTAAATAATACACTATAGAGCAAGCACATTGGATAACATTAACAATCACAACCTACTTCCAGTGTTGAAGACAAGTTGCATAAGCACACATTGGCTTGGGTTATATAATGTCTCCTATTCATACTTACTGATTTTGTTGTGCAGACCGTTCAAGAAGTCATTTCTGTTTCCTGGCACAGAATCATGCCTGTATCTTTCTGACATAGTATAGTTCAATAGTATGTTGGTACCTCCAACATTTGTCAGCTATGTTATTATTAGTGACAGTCAATCTTCAATCTCATCACCTTCTTATTCTCAATAGAATTTCACGTCTACATGAATGAAGATTTGAAAAAGGTTATTAGGCTTCCTAAAATTTCCATTTTATTACTCATCATGAAATTCCTAAAGATCTATTCTTGGTGATTTTTCCTTACCATACTTCTGAGGCTGATGAATATCAACTAGCTTTTAAGATTTAATCATTATGTGAAAAGGGAAAAGTTTTACTTAATGTGCTTTCAAAACTTATTGATGACTGCTGAGAACTGAGAAATCTTCCTATCTGTTGGCATGAAAGATGGAGCCTTTTATTGCTTTAATGCACTGGTGCTGTTGTTGATGTTTTCAATGGATGGAGGTCTTTCACTTTATTTTCTATAATGATATTAGTATCTATGCAGATTGGATTCTGCTGTTCTTGATCTAGTTGGAGATGATAGTACTGGTCTGCAGAAGCAAAAATCTCAATATCATTGGGACAAGGTATTCTTTTGATGGCACAAGGAGCATGTTTATCATTTTTTCTGAAAGATATTTACTTTGTTTTTCCTATTTTTGGTTTTAGAGAAGCAAGAAGTATATAAAATTGAACAGTGGGGACCGTGTCACAGTTTCGGGCAAGGTATGATGGTTCTTGTTCCTACAGATTTCACATGGTGCATGGTATTTCCCATCTTGGATTGCCGATCAATGACTACAAAATTTAAATTAGATGTATTTTAGTTGCTGTATTATAATGCAACTATGATATGTCTATTTTGTCAATGCGGACCTGTCTGTGTAACTTCTTGTGGCTGTTTCTGCATCAGTTCTCTTGACGTGCCTCTTCCATTGCTGTATTGTTGGTTTCAGTCTTTTTAGGTCAAGTTTAAACAACACATACTTTGCATGGAGCAACATCCTTATTGGTTCATAAGTTTCAAGTGCTCTTGTTACTAAAGTGATAATGCTTTAGCAGAAGTTTGTTTTATACTGTTCAGTTGTTGTTCTATTTTTACCTTGTGTACCTGTGGATATTTTCTTGATAAGGATTACATGTTTCATAAGTTTGTCAACTCCATTTTATCTACTTCTGCATAGTTACATATTGTTTAGTTTATAATTACATATAGATGAAGCCACATATTGATTAATGGATCTCCTAATGCATTAGATCAAGAACGAAAGTGGTGCAAAAGTTAAGGCTGACAAAACAGGGCTATACAAGAAATGGAAGGAACGCTCCCATCAAAGGATCTCTCTTGGTGGAATGGAAAAAGACAATTTGCAGGAGGGTGGGTTAGCAGGTAATGCAATTCATTATTTTTGGTTAATTGTCAATACTTATTGGTTTGTCAACCACAAAACTAATAATAACATTCAATCAAGAAATGGAGATTATTTGATGGTCTAAAAATGCAAAAAAAAAGTTTTTCATACATTGGATCTGTTATCTGTCACTGAGAGATGAAAAACATATCACTATCCCTAAGAGTGGGATGGTACAGTGGTGCTACTAATATTTTTGTATTTGGTCACTTACACTTTTTAGATCATGATCAGTTGTTTGGATCATATTGAAATATTCTGAAAATCGTAAATTTTTGGATGAATGCATTTTTCATTGTTCATTTTTTGATAGTTCGATTAATATCAAAATTTATTCAAAAGACATTTTTGCTCTTAAATATATTGAATGTCATAGATTATGTTCATCTTTCAACATGAAATCCAGTGATAGATCTTGAGGTGATAGTATTGATACCTCAATTCTCGCCATTGGATTGTAGTTCAACCATTGGATACACACATGCATATATATATATATATATATATATATATATATATATGTGTGTGTGTGTGTGTGTATGTATATATATATGTGTATGTATATATATGTATGTATATATGTGTGTGTGTGTGTGTATCTGTCTTGGACTCATCAAATGTTCTCCATTCTTCTTAACATTTGGTACCAGGCAAGGTTTCAAATAACGGTTGGTACAGATCAGTATTATAGGTCTGACAAAGGACTGGCATTAGACCATATGGTCTGGTTTCTGTTAGTGTTATTTCTTTTTGGTTGTACTGGGTTGCATTGGTTAGTATACTACTTGGTATAATTGGTAATGTACTGGTTCAGTAGATCACAGAAACTGGTATTCAACTATGATTTAGAACGTTGGTAATAGGCTACCGTTGACCCACCTGAGTTGCAGCCCGTTGAGGAGCAACTCCTAGAACCATGACATGAGTTTGGACTGTTACTGTGTGAATCAGCATGGTTTGTTGAGTTTGCCGCAAACCAGCACTTGGTTGGCATGCGCACACACACACAAACAGGACCAATGTCTCTGGCATGGATTAGTACAGCTGGCATGCATGATTGATGCTGTTGAAGTTGTATACAGTTCTTGAGAGTCATAATGGGTTTCCAAGAGTAGTTAATAAACTAAGATTATGATTGTTCTTATTTATATTCAAAGAGGGTCTGTTTGACTGACCCATTAAAATCTGCTTTTTTGATGACATGATATGTTGTCTGCCTTGAGATAAAAAAATGGCTTTCAGATCTTCTAGGCCACCTGTTACGCAATGAGTGATGAGGGAAAAGTGAAGTTTGTCAGGAACATAATTGGAGGGAAAATCTCGGTCATTAAATAGTGTTATCAGCCTAAATTCTTTTAATGCTTTCCTGTCTCTTGCTCATACTGACTTCGAGATCTAGTCCAAGGGGACACCCTTACAGTAGGGTTTCACAGGCAGTTTTTTTCTTGTAATTATTTGTAAGTTTACTTTCTTGATAGTAGTGTCTTTGCTATAAATCATTTATGGCTTGAAAGTTTCTTTTCCTGCATTCTTCTTGCAAAATGGCTCATTTTTTTTAGGCTCTTAAGACTGAACTTTTTTCTTTCTCCATAGAGAGAGGAAATAAGCAGCATTATAAAGGTAAAAGGAAGCGTTGGTCTGTTCCCAATGCTAACGTGCCATCTGAGCTAAAAGACCCCGAGCAAGTGCGCAAAGGAAGACAGCAGAAGGCCAATAAAATTGCTCATCTGAAGACCAAATCTTCCAAAGGGAAGAGATTCAGTAAACAGAAGCGTGGTAAGAGAGAAAGGTGAATGATTTTTAAAACAGCTCAATCAGAGCCTGCAGAATGTATGTTGTGCCAATATGGCTGATGAAGTTGCTCACAAATTTTGTTTTATCCTTGTAAACCAAAGTATATTTAGATTTCACTCTATAGATCAGCACAGTCAACCCTAAATAGTTCTGACGCAATTACTGAGCAGCAATTATCCTTGGAACCATCTGAGCTGGCAAAAGAGAGTTGGTGCAAATAGTGAGAACACTGTGGCCAAGGTTGCAATCCAGTTTTGATTTATTCTTATAAGCTATATCTTCTTTATTTCTTTCCTGCTTTGCATCTCAGATTACTCTCGGTTATAGTCATGTTTCTCTTATATCCTGAAACAAATATTGACATCACTTGTGCTACTATTGATATCCTCCTTGATGAGGCGTGGCAAACCATCCATCTGACCACAGGTAAATTAGATTAGATAGAGAGAGGTGTTTCATCCTGCAGGCATGAGCTTGATTCAACACCAAGGTCAACAAGATGAATCAGCGTTGACCTTGAAACCATGCAAATGCAAGTGTGATTATTTCTCAACTCCCAGTAATCACCATGGCGGAGAGAAAATGGTTAGTCAACTTGCTCTTCATTTACATACCTCTGCGACATAAACACACAAGCACTACTGGATTCATCCGACTCACCCTACTCCAAATCTAAAAAGCTTGCCGCCTGTGACTGGCTCATCCCATCGCCGGCCGTATCAGCCTTTCCACTAGCTTTTGTTTCTATTCCTTAGATATATTGTAGCAGCATGGCAACGATGTCCATCTTGTTCTGCTATGTAGAAAGTAGAAGAAAGATAGCGAATCCCTACTTTGTCACACACAACGCAGAGGCTCGTGTCCTTTTCGACTCAAAAGATGCCACTAAAGAAAGAAGCAAACTTGCTTCTTTCCCCATCTTCCTCCTTAGTTTAAGGTGAAGAATTATGCTGTATTAATTGGAATGATCAAGGTTTTAAATATCATTAAAAAACAATTGATGCGATAAAACTTGTAAACATATTGGGTCTTTTCCTGAAAAAGAACAAAAATATTTTTTATGATATCAAAGCATATCATAAATTCGAATCGTGTATTTATTTGTCCTCCTCTTTTATAATGTCTTAGTTAAAATTGCATCAATCATAAATCAACCAAATAGTTTAAAAGATATTCGAATTCAATACCTAATCGGGATTTAAAACCTTATCTATAGTAATGGGCATCATGTTACTAGTAGCAACAACATGGTGGTGCCTAAAGAAAGAAGTGACATGGGAAACAGAGCTGTGCCACCTCCTGTGTGGTTCCCCAGATTCCATATGGTTTAATGGGGGAGGGAGCTTAATTAATGCAAGTCCCATGGTACTTGTTAGCATCACTACTTTGCTTTGTTGGTAGGAGAGAGGAGACACACCAAGTTGTGTGTGCAGTAGAGAAAAAAAGGAGAGGAAGATTCTCCACCACTTTAGACACCTACATAGAATATGAATTCAATGCCTCACTCGATCCAGTGGCACTGTTCATATATGCCTTTCTTCCTCTACAGATGACAGGTGAGGTTGGACCATGCAAGCTGGGGATGACATCTGAGGTGCATATGGAACCAAAACCCTAAAAATGTCACTCATTGCACGCTTCAGAGCACCAGTCTCCAGAGGCCCACTTCGTGATGGTGAAGTTTATACTCCATGGGATGAGATTGAAGTTTGAGATGCCTGAGATAGTTATCTCTGAAACAAAATAGGGTTTAGATCAGTAAGAATCATAGTGAACTGGTCCAAGAGAAATAGCCTGCTTTCCAGCAAAAGACTTGTACATGAAACCTTTTGCTTTTTCTTCCTTTGCAGTTTATCTTCTTCTTGATCATGAAACCTTTTGCTTTTTCTTCTCAACATGTTGGAAGTCGATATATACTGCTGCAAAATTAGCAACCTTGTCAGCTTCTACTTTCCATACTTCAATCAGTATCTCCTTCAGCTGCTAAAAAACCTGTTTGTAATGTCATCATCAGCTTGTTTGCACATCAGAGTTTGAGGAACTATCAAATTGCAGCTTCCAAGCTCAATCATTCAAGCATGAGAGAGAGAGAGAGAGAGAGAGAGAGGTTAGCTCAACTTCCAGGAAGCTGCATGCCCTACTCTCCCACATCCATAACATGAGTGCAGTAATAGTTTATTAGAAGGTGGTACACAGTCCTCCACCAACCTCCCTCTCCCCATGTGCTGCTCCGACATGGGGTGCGTCCATCCTTTTCTCGGTGGGGCCGCACGAACACCTGTCTAGAGGTACCGCCCTGATAGGTGGGTCCTAGTGGGGCCCCTCCTCCTTGGCTTCATCTTGGTGGTGACTTCCATATCCCCACCTCAACTCGACTTGTTTACAGATAAGCTTCTCTAATACTACGACTCATTTGAAATCCTTGTGCTGCCTCCTCCCATCTTGCCTTGTCTCATATAATATATGTCAAAAGGAGAGTTCGTATGTAAAGGCAATAATGTGATGATTACTCCCTTCTTAAGCTGATAAGAAGTGCTGGCATAAGTCCATGGGATTATAATTTGTTGTGCTTCATCGTATGAGGAAAAAAAATAAATTTATTTCAATAAAAATTCAAAAAAATATATATAAACAAGTGTAATGAAGATGATATATCCTTTTCTTAATATATTTTAAAAAAATAAAATAAAAATATTATATTAAATGACGAGATCTATCTCTTGTAAAATAATATATTAATCGATCGAATTAACTCAATAGATATTTTTTAATGCATTAATTATGATAATATATTAAGAGAAAACAAATTTCCCTAGAAGAATATAAGAAGAAAATTTGTGGTTGACTATATGAAACTTGGAAGTGCATACAACCACATAAATATATGTGTTGGTTGAAACCTAGTGAAGAAAGTTAAATGCACAAACCACACAAGTAGAATGATTTCCTTTCTTTAACAAAAAGAGTAAATGCATAATTATTTTTCACAAAGGATTTTAATAACTTTTTTCTTAAAATTAAAAAAAAAGAAAAATACATTGAAACCTCGCTGTTATATGATGAATACATGGAACATGGTAATTGGACATCAATCTAAAATAAAAGTTTATGCTAATAAGTTATAGAACAACACCTATTATATATACATATACATACATACATATACATATATATGTATATACATACATATATGTATGTATATACATACATATATGTATGTATATACATACATATATATATATATGTGTATATATACATACATATATACATATATGTATATATATGTATATATATGTATATATATATATATATATCGCATTTATATTAATTATTTATGAACTCTAAAGAAATCCCTAAATACCAAGATTTAAATATTTTCATTATATGAGTTTTTAAAAGTGTGGCAAAGAGAAAAAGTAAAAGAGCCCAAAAGAATATAATCACAAACATGAATATACATGATATTTATGGGATCATTAATAGTTTTTTAGGACATATGTAGCCATATTTTCAGGTATAAAACTATACCATTATTGATCAAAATTGAATACAAGATCCATTTAAATATATTTTTATTCAAAAATAATATAATATTATAAATATTTATATAATAGTAGTTGTTCCATTTCATCATTTTGACACACATATTTGGCCACCCAATCCCTAAGCATTTCACGTGGCATTTGATTCCTTATGCCCACACCAGCTTGCCGTTATCCACCGACAGCGCCGTATGGGCCGATCCGTCCCCGTTGCTTAAGTCGTGCCCCCTGTCGTCCCGCGAAGTTCCACTCTCAAAGGAGTATTTTAGTCATTTTGTGCACAAGCCGTCTATAAAGAGCCGCTTCTCCGCCCTTTTTAACTTTAGCCGCGAAGCTTTCCACCCCAAAAACAAGGCGAAAGCAGAGGCAGCTCCTTGCGGCCGCCGGGAATCTCGAGCTTCGGCTAGCGTCTTCTCCCGGATCCTCCTTCAAGGTCGGCGTCTCCCGCCGGCGCCGAGGTGTTGCAGGTTTCGAGGCGGTCGGAACCCCCGGCTGCGTTCGCCGCATGATGTGGTTTTCTCTCTTCCCGATGAAGGCGTCGACGCGGCTCCTCTGGAGTACCTCCTTCTTCCGCCACAAGACCGCTGCCGTCGCCTTCCTCTGAACCGGCCTACAAGCCATCCCTCTATAGATAGAGTCTGTATAGATATTGCTCCGCGTGGATACTGCTACCACTGTAGCTGACTTCGATCTCGCTGGCGACTACTCGGATCTGGGATCGGCCGATGGATCCTGCCCGTCTGATCTTTGATTCCTCCTCGTCGCACCGCCACCACGGGCATCGGATGCTCCTCTTGGGAAGCGGCGGCGTTAGTCCGGTGTTCGGAGGTGAGCTTTAGGTTCTACAGTACTTATTTCCCATTATACCCTTGATTTGAGGGTTGATCGAGAGGGGTATTTTCGGAATAAAAGGGGCGATATCGGCACTGGCGGAGGGCGCGAACAAGCGGCGGCCGTTCTTCACGTCGCCGGACGAGATCCTGGAGGAGGAGTACTACTACGACGAGCAACTGCCGGAGAAGAAGCGCCGCCTCATGCCGGATCAGGTAGTAGAACGCCTCCTCTCTCCTCCATCTTCGATGCGGATAAAAGTGTTCACACTTAATGATCGTGTAAGTTTTTGCTGCTATCACTTCTCATGCACGCATAGCTAAATCCATCATCTTATGAATTCCTTCTTTTGGATTTCGATGTGAGAACCGAGAAGAACATAATAAGAGCTAACAAATTTGTATGCGTTTGTCCAAGATCTGGTGTATAAAATGAGATAGCAGAGGAAGCATGACCACAATAGCATGTGTTTGATGTTATTCCCCCTGCCCATGTGACCTGCTGCATCACGTGTTGCTTGTCAGTTGCCATCAAATACTACATAAAACACATAATGTTTGATGCATGAAACACTCTGGGAAGATACAAAAGCAGTTTCATGTGTTCTTGATGATGAAATGGTTGCCCTGATTGACCAACAATTAGCATATAATGATGAGATTGCATGACAAATGTTTGAGTTCTTATTGGTCATGAATGAATTTGACGGTGAGTGTTGAAAGTAAAAGGTACACTTACTGGAGCGGAGCTTCGAGGCGGAGAACAAGCTGGAGCCGGAGCGGAAGAGCGAGCTAGCTCGGAAGCTCGGCCTGCAACCGAGGCAGGTGGCTGTTTGGTTCCAGAACCGTCGCGCCCGGTGGAAGACTAAGCAGCTGGAACACGACTTCGATCGCCTCAAGTCCTCCTACAACTC